TGTCGGCGTTAGACGTGAACCAATAATGATGGATGTTCCAGCATTTTTGTTCTATTATTCCTAAACTCTAGGACAATATTGATGCATGTCATCGATTTTAGACGGTTTAGTTTTAATTTCTTTCTGTTTTAAATATACATATGAAAGGTTCCCTGGTACTAAATAATAAAATGGTAAAAAATGTAAATAAATAGCAAAAACTAAACCAATGCAAAAAATAATATGGGGGAGCAAAAGTTTATGAGAAAATTCAAGGAAAAGAGAAGAAATTAACACTTTTTAGTCAGTTGTACAGGGTGGCTCGAATTCGACGCTCATCATTGGGATTTCGGAAACCGTAAGAGATACAGGATCGGTTAAATGGAGGCAAAGTTGCGCAATTTGATGCTCAATAAAATGCCGTATTGCATTTTGAAAAATTCCGAATACTTCCGAATATATTCGAAAGAAAAACAGAATTTTCAATTTTGTTTTCTATTGTTTCCTGGCTTTATTTGTTAAGATAACTTAAAATGAAAAACACATTTTCATATCCACTTTTTCTGCTCTATAACTCTGTGTGATTAAATATTGACTCTGACGTTTCGGCTTCTTGCAACCATCAACTTAATTTTTTTAAATACGGACCTGATTTTTTTTTCAATTTAATTAAATCCTTTCATCACTCTTAAAACACCATATATAGTCACTTTGATATTTGCCGACGTTTCGTACAGAAAATTCCATCACCAGAATATTTTATGCAAAAAAAATAAAAAATAAAAATGCAATACGGCATTTTATTGAGCATCAAATTGCGCAACTTTGCCTTTATTTAACCGATCCTGTATCTCTTACGGTTTCCGAAATCCCAATGATGAGCATCGAATTCGAACCACCCTGTACAGGCTGTTTCCTACTAATACTAAATTATATTTTTTCTTGCCAACTCTTCCAGGTAGAAAAAAATATGTAGAAATAAAAAAAATCAAATTAAATGTTACACATGTAAATTATTTTATTTTAAAGCTAGGAGAAGAAGAAGGGATAAAAATATTATAAAAGAACATTACAAGTGAATGACTGCTATATAGAACTAAATAATTACGAAAATAAGTTGGTCGGACAACGTAGCATCGAAATATTTTATGTATAAAACAGCCCTTATAGCGACTACTATTTTTTTCGTACTTATTTATTCATACTCATTATTTCAAAAAAAGATGTATTATTGATATAAGACATACCAAAAAAGTCATCTTTGAAAATATCATGAATTAAAAACTTATCCATATGTAGATGAAAGTCGCCATTCGAGAAAATGATCGCAGTGTGTAAAAAACACCATTCGATTGGATTAAAATACAATAAATAAAAAAAAACTATTTTCAACAGTGATTTAAATTTTATCACAATAATGTAGTAGTTTAGGCTTTCGCGGCCATCGTTTGAAGAATTTTGGTTTTTCGGGTTATTAGGCCGTCGTCGGTTAGAATTGCTTCCTAACGTTTCGCTAGCACGAGTGGCTAGCATCTTCAGAGGTGTGTTTGCTCCGATTGCTCACACTAGACTGATGCCTCCGCGTCGGCGTAGCGCGTATTTGTCCGTCGGCGGAGGGGGCGTGGCTTGTTCGGGTGGTAGTTCTTCCGGAACTGGTCTACTTCTCTGTGCTGCTACTTTGGTCCTAGATATAGCTGGATGCCAAATTCTGTTAAGGTAGAACGTTTCTTCCTTCCTGTTGAAATTATTTGGATGTTTGTGAATTTCAACAGCTTCTCTGACCAGACGAGGATGATATCCAGATGTTGTGGCAATGACTTTGGGTGTCTTTGAATTGGATTTTGTGGTCACCATCTCTTAGAGCATGTTCTGCTACGGCTGACTTCTCTGTTTACCCTAATCTGCAGTTTCTCTTGTGTTCCGTAAGTCTCGTTTCTACTGAGCGTTTGGTAATTCCAATATATACGCTACCGCAGGAACAAGGTATACGGTAGATCGCTTCAGAGGATAATGGTTCTCTTTTGTCTTTTGCTGGTCTTAAGCAGTCCCTTATTTTTCGGGTAGGTTTGTATATGGTTTTGATGTTATGCTTCTTGAGAACTTTACCAATCCTATCGGTGACCTGGGAAACATATGGAAGGAAGGCCTTATTAATGATGTTTTCCTGTTCATTGGCGTCAGGTCTCCTCTGCCTAGGTGCCAGCGCCGCCTTTATTTCTCTGTCATTATAGCCATTGGCAAGAAAGGCTTTATTTAAATGACTTAGTTCCTCTTGGATGTGTTCATTAGCACAGATACGTCTTGCCCTATTTGCTAATGTTCCGATAATCCCCTGTTTTTGGCTTGGATGGTGATTTGATAGTTTGTGTAAGTACCGGTCTGTATGAGTGGGTTTTCGATACACGGTGTGATCCAAAAGGTCGCCATTTCTCTTGACAAGCACATCGAGGAAGGCCAGTTGGTTGTTTACTTCGGTTTCCATGGTAAATTTTATGCTCGGGCTCTGCGAATTAAGGTGATGAAGGAAGTCATCTAGGCTGTCACGTCCATGTTTCCAAACCACAAATGTATCGTCCACATAACGAAACCATACAGCGGGCTTCAGAACGGATGACTCTAGCGCTTTTTCTTCAAATCTCTCCATAAAGAAATTAGCAATTATTGGGCTGATTGGGCTACCCATTGCGACACCTTCTGTTTGTTCGTAGTAATTGCCGTTCCATAAGAAATAGCTACCAGTCAGACACACTCGGAAGAGCTCCGCGATGTCAGGTGGGAATGATTCCTTGATTAGATCCATTGACTCGCCTAGGGGTACTCTCGTGAATAGAGATACCACATCGAAGCTTACCATGATGTCAGATGGTTCCAGTTTTATATCTTTTAGCTTTTGGACGAAATGCGTTGAGTCCTTCACATAAGAGTTTGTGTTGCCGACTTTCGGTTGTAGGATCGTAGTCAAGTATTTAGCTAAGTTGTAAGTAGGCGATCCTGGAGCACTCACTATCGGTCTAAGTGGGACACTAGCTTTATGAATTTTTGGTAGTCCATAAAGGCGTGGTGGTTGAGCTTCCGAGTTAATTAATTTTGATTTCAGATGTTCCGGGAGTGAGGAGGCCTTGATGAGTCTGTTGGTGTTTCTGACAATTAAGGCAGTAGGATCCTTCTTCAGTAACTTATAAGTCTGGGGCTCCAGTAGATCCTCGATTTTGGACCTATAATCCTCAGACTTCATTACTACCGTAGCATTCCCCTTGTCTGCCGGTAAGACCAGAATGTCCTTGTCAGCATTCAGCGATTTTAGAGCCTGATGTTCTTCCCTAGACAGATTACTTTTTGGAGCCTTAGCAGTTCTCAATATGTTGACCGTTTCAAATCGGATTTCGTCTGCGATACTGTTAGGAAGGTTACGTATGGCAGCTTCTGTTCCGGCAATAATGTCTTCCACTGGAACCACTTTCGGTGTTATGGCAAAGTTTCCTCCCTTCGCTAATAATGTTACTTCTGATGTCGTAAGGGTCTTATCTGTGAGATTCACCACGGTTCGAGCAGGTTCAAGAGATATCCTATATTCCGGCTTGGTTTTTGGTTGCAGTTTTTCATATTTGATCTTCTGGCGAGCTGATGTTCTTTCCAATTCATTTTGCATATTTTGGTATGTTATTCCGTCAATCTTGTCCCAGTCTACAGGTTGCATGTTGGCGGTAAGGATATAAAATAGGTCGATCAATTCCCTGTCTACCTTTGCTAAGTCTCGTCTAGATGTATGAATCCTCTCACGAAGAAAATTTTTCTCCATCCTGGTGTAAAGGCGATTTGCCTGAGTAGATGAGAATACCCTCTTCATTTTGAGAAATCCTGGTATTACGTTTTGGTCTCGGCAGCGGCACAGAAAAGCAAGCGATGATAGCAAGTGAGCTTTTCGCTTCCGTGTCTTGTCCAGGCGTTGGTACAATCTGAATAGCTCCTCCCCGTAGAGCCGTTTAATGTAGTAGTTTAGGCTTTCGCGGCCATCGTTTGAAGAATTTTGGTTTTTCGGGTTATTAGGCCGTCGTCGGTTAGAATTGCTTCCTAACGTTTCGCTAGCACGAGTGGCTAGCATCTTCAGAGGTGTGTTTGCTCCGATTGCTCACACTAGACTGATGCCTCCGCGTCGGCGTAGCGCGTATTTATGCGTCGGCGGAGGGGGCGTGGCTTGTTCGGGTGGTAGTTCTTCCGGAACTGGTCTACTTCTCTGTGCTGCACTTTGGTCCTAGATATAGCTGGATGCCAGATTCTGTTAAGGTAGAAAGTTTCTTCCTTCCTGTTGAAATTATTTGGATGTTTGTGAATTTCAACAGCTTCCTGACCAGACGAGGATGATATCCAGATGTTGTGGCAATGACTTGGGTGTCTTCGAATTGGATTTTGTGGTCACCATCTCTTAGAGCATGTTCTGCTACGGCTGACTTCTCTGTTTGCCCTAATCTGCAGTTTTCTTGTGTTCCGTAAGTCTCGTTCCTACTGAGCGTTTGGTAGTTCCACATATACGCTACCGCAGGAACAAGGTATACGGTAGATCCCTGCAGAGGATAATGGTTCTCTTTTGTCTTTTGCTGGTCTTAAGCAGTCCCTTATTTTTTCGGGTAGGTTTGTATATGGTTTTGATGTTATGCTTCTTGAGAACTTTACCAATCCTATCGGTGACCTGGGAAACATATGGAAGGAAGGCCTTATTAATGATGTTTTCCTGTTCATTGGCGTCAGGTCTCTCCTCTGCCTAGGTGCCAGCGCCGCCTTTATTTCTCTGTCATTATAGCCATTGGCAAGAAAGGCTTTATTTAAATGACTTAGTTCATCTTGGATGTGTTCATTAGCACAGATACGTCTTGCCCTATTTGCTAATGTTCCGATAATCCCCTGTTTTTGGCTTGGATGGTGATTTGATAGTTTGTGTAAGTACCGGTCTGTATGAGTGGGTTTTCGATACACGGTGTGATCCAAAATGCCGAGACCAAAACGTAATACCAGGATTTCTCAAAATGAAGAGGGTATTCTCATCTACTCAGGCAAATCGCCTTTACACCAGGATGGAGAAAAATTTTCTTCGTGAGAGGATTCATACATCTAGACGAGACTTAGCAAAGGTAGACAGGGAATTGATCGACCTATTTTATATCCTTACCGCCAACATGCAACCTGTAGACTGGGACAAGATTGACGGAATAACATACCAAAATATGCAAAATGAATTGGAAAGAACATCAGCTCGCCAGAAGATCAAATATGAAAAACTGCAACCAAAAACCAAGCCGGAATATAGGATATCTCTTGAACCTGCTCGAACCGTGGTGAATCTCACAGATAAGACCCTTACGACATCAGAAGTAACATTATTAGCGAAGGGAGGAAACTTTGCCATAACACCGAAAGTGGTTCCAGTGGAAGACATTATTGCCGGAACAGAAGCTGCCATACGTAACCTTCCTAACAGTATCGCAGACGAAATCCGATTTGAAACGGTCAACATATTGAGAACTGCTAAGGCTCCAAAAAGTAATCTGTCTAGGGAAGAACATCAGGCTCTAAAATCGCTGAATGCTGACAAGGACATTCTGGTCTTACCGGCAGACAAGGGGAATGCTACGGTAGTAATGAAGTCTGAGGATTATAGGTCCAAAATCGAGGATCTACTGGAGCCCCAGACTTATAAGTTACTGAAGAAGGATCCTACTGCCTTAATTGTCAGAAACACCAACAGACTCATCAAGGCCTCCTCACTCCCGGAACATCTGAAATCAAAATTAATTAACTCGGAAGCTCAACCACCACGCCTTTATGGACTACCAAAAATTCATAAAGCTAGTGTCCCACTTAGACCGATAGTGAGTGCTCCAGGATCGCCTACTTACAACTTAGCTAAATACTTGACTACGATCCTACAACCGAAAGTCGGCAACACAAACTCTTATGTGAAGGACTCAACGCATTTCGTCCAAAAGCTAAAAGATATAAAACTGGAACCATCTGACATCATGGTAAGCTTCGATGTGGTATCTCTATTCACGAGAGTACCCCTAGGCGAGTCAATGGATCTAATCAAGGAATCATTCCCACCTGACATCGCGGAGCTCTTCCGAGTGTGTCTGACTGGTAGCTATTTCTTATGGAACGGCAATTACTACGAACAAACAGAAGGTGTCGCAATGGGTAGCCCAATCAGCCCAATAATTGCTAATTTCTTTATGGAGAGATTTGAAGAAAAAGCGCTAGAGTCATCCGTTCTGAAGCCCGCTGTATGGTTTCGTTATGTGGACGATACATTTGTGGTTTGGAAACATGGACGTGACAGCCTAGATGACTTCCTTCATCACCTTAATTCGCAGAGCCCGAGCATAAAATTTACCATGGAAACCGAAGTAAACAACCAACTGGCCTTCCTCGATGTGCTTGTCAAGAGAAATGGCGACCTTTTGGATCACACCGTGTATCGAAAACCCACTCATACAGACCGGTACTTACACAAACTATCAAATCACCATCCAAGCCAAAAACAGGGGATTATCGGAACATTAGCAAATAGGGCAAGACGTATCTGTGCTAATGAACACATCCAAGAGGAACTAAGTCATTTAAATAAAGCCTTTCTTGCCAATGGCTATAATGACAGAGAAATAAAGGCGGCGCTGGCACCTAGGCAGAGGAGACCTGACGCCAATGAACAGGAAAACATCATTAATAAGGCCTTCCTTCCATATGTTTCCCAGGTCACCGATAGGATTGGTAAAGTTCTCAAGAAGCATAACATCAAAACCATATACAAACCTACCCGAAAAATAAGGGACTGCTTAAGACCAGCAAAAGACAAAAGAGAACCATTATCCTCTGCAGGGATCTACCGTATACCTTGTTCCTGCGGTAGCGTATATATTGGAACTACCAACGCTCAGTAGGAACGAGACTTACGGAACACAAGAGAAACTGCAGATTAGGGGCAAACAGAGAAGTCAGCCGTAGCAGAACATGCTCTAAGAGATGGTGACCACAAAATCCAATTCGAAGACACCCAAGTCATTGCCACAACATCTGGATATCATCCTCGTCTGGTCAGGGAAGCTGTTGAAATTCACAAACATCCAAATAATTTCAACAGGAAGGAAGAAACTTTCTACCTTAACAGAATCTGGCATCCAGCTATATCTAGGACCAAAGTAGCAGCACAGAGAAGTAGACCAGTTACGGAAGAACTACCACCCGAACAAGCCACGCCCCCTCCGCCGACGCATAAATACGCGCTACGCCGACGCGGAGGCATCAGTCTAGTGTGAGCAATCGGAGCAAACACACCTCTGAAGATGCTAGCCACTCGTGCTAGCGAAACGTTAGGAAGCAATTCTAACCGACGACGGCCTAATAACCCGAAAAACCAAAATTCTTTATCACAATACATTAAAATAAAAATTCCATAGGCAAGCATTGAAGTTGTTTGCCAATGGAGTGAATGCGAGAGTGAACGTCTATGAAAACTACAATAATGAAATGTAAAAAAATCTAAGATTTTTTATAAGTTTCTTATTATAGAATTATTATAATAATTAATAAACAACGTCCAGTTGATCTTCTACTAAAATCTCATTTATATTCTCTTATTAGAAATGACAAACCCTATTCTTAACAATATCCATCATCACAGATTATATTTAACAAAGGAGATGTCTTAAGCTTCTCCCATTCGTATCATCCTAATCTCTCAATCGACTGTCTAGAAAATCGACCGAAATACTCTAAAATAACGTAAACGAGTTAACAATGGACTCCCAAATGTAGGAACAATCTAAATTTTAATACGTAATGGTAAGCCTATTGTGTCCATTGTACAAGCGAACACAGCACGAGGACTCAAGGTATATCATAGATCTGAAGAAGTAGAAAAAAATCCTACCAGGTAGGTAAATCGACACATTGTCTACTTTTTGTGTAGAAGAGGCACACATTCGTCTGCAGGTTTTTTTTTTTTCGTTGTTACCGAGAGGATATCGTTTACTCCCAAATGTTGAAAATTATGTATGACTTATTAACTGACCTTATATCTTGGTCAGTTAGGTTAGGTCCTATTGTATATTAGGCCTATTGTCACAACAAAGGTAATCTGCAAAGTAAAATAGTTATTTTTGTAAAAACTACTTCATTCAATCCAAACGAAAACCAGCTTGTGAGTGCTTAATGTTTCAGAAGGTACATATATCTTCACATTACACTCTTTGCTTGCAGAATATATTTTATCTTGAATATTTAGAGAAACGTTAAATCTTCAAAATAAATATATAAGAAATCTTGATTATAATTTTAAAAAGCAATTACTTTCCGCATTTCCTTTGTGCCTTTTTTACACGAAACCTATTACATTAACTACGAAAGTTACTAAGGTTAGATATATTTCTTTGGCAAAAATGGTATGAGCTTTATAGGCCCTAATATACCACATTTTCTAGGTACAACTTCGTCTTTTTCGTTTTACAGAAGGACTAACATTCTTCTAATTATTCTAGGTAGGACCAACATTAAAAACTAGTAGTCAAATATAGACCGACTCGAAAAATGGACACAATTTTAATGTATTTTAATTTTAAATATATTGTATTAAAATCTATCTAATCTTATTAAATTGAACATGGTAGAGATCAACTTCTGGACTTAAACCATCTCTACTAGAGTAACTGCAAATAAGCAATAATAATTCTTTTTAATGACAGGCACATTACCAAAATAATACACACTATTTTACAAGTATGTTGATTAGGACTAAAAGCAAGACATGCATTTAATGCTAATATTGCTGTAAATCGTATTGTCTTCTTCACATATAAAGGGTTTTTAGTTTGGTTTGGATTGCTCAACTACGCCGAAGAATTGCCTCATACTTTCGCCAATATAACAATATTTTGTTGTTTCTGACAGATAGGGATTTATTTTTTTTATTTGAAAAGGTTCAAATAATTTAGTTACAAAAGAGATATACAGGGTGGTCCGAACTGTATTCCGGAAACGACGGCAGCATATTCTGCAGATAAAAATAAGTAAAAAAGATTGTATAAATGTATGTCCTCAAATGCTTAGTTTCGAAGATACAGAGTGTAGAAATTTCATTTTTATTTCGATTTTTTCCAAATAATTTCTGAAAAAAAACGTCAATATTTGTATGAAAATTGGTGTCTGGGATTTTTTGACATGAGAAATTTTATTTTGATGTCAATATGACTCCTATTTATAGGGGGCGCCACCTACATGTGTTTTAACTGTTTTGAGAGTAATAACTTTTCGACCGTACCTGTATAAAAACTACTGAGTAAAAAATATACATTTCCGTGACTTTTTACCTAAAAAATGTCTTGGTAAAAATCGCTACGAGCAACCGTTCTCAAGATATTTAGGATAGAAATAGTCAATACTATTTCATTATTGACAAAAAATAAACATGTTGAGTAGATGGTTATTTGACTGAAATAATAAATTCAGAAAATTTTTATTTTTTTTTAAATTAATCATAAATTTTTTTGCGAAAAAATGATGATAAAACAGTTTCTAATCTTCTGCTGATGATGCTAACATGGTTAGCAAAACGCACGTCCAGTGTAAAAGTAAAAGTGTTTTGGTGTATTGTGGCGATTTAGTGTTTTTATTTTGCTTTTTTAAACAGTTTCTGTTAAACTTTTGGCACAAAAACATTTCAAATTTATCATTTCAATCTAATAACTATTTAGTCAACATGTTTAATTTATGTCAATGATGACAGGTATTGATAATTTTGATTCCAAATATCTCGAGAACCAGATATTTTTACCAAGATAACTTTTTTACGTAAAAAACGTCGTAAATATATATTTAATTAAATGTATTTTTACTTAGTAGTTTTATACAGTCACGGACGAAAAATTATTACTCCTCAAAATAGTGAAAAAAAAACGTAGGTGGCCCCCCTACAAGTAGGAGTCACATTGACAACGAAATCAAATTTCTCATGTTAAAAAACCTCCAGATACTAATTTTCGTCCAAATACCGAATTTAGTTCAGAAATTATTAGGAAAAAATCGAAATAAAAATGAAACTTCTACACCCTGTATCTCCGAAAGTTTCCGGAATACAGTTCGGACCACCCTGTATATAAGATATCATCGAAGTCGGCCCAGTAGAACAAACGGGTATCATCATCATTTTCAGCTCATTCAAGTATTGTAGTTGGTCCCCTTGTTGTCTATTGATGGCTATGCGGGTCTAAGTTATCCCTACTAATTTCCAAATATCATGGTCCCATCTCAGGTTTGGTTTTCTTTTAGGTCTCTTAAGGTCTTCTAGGCCTCTTCATGCTGTAATTTTTGTGGTCCATCTGTTGTCCATGCTTCTTGCCTACCTATCGCCTCCTTGCCTACCTATTGCCTCCTTGTCCTGCCTATTGCCACTGGCGGGATTTAACTCTGAACAAAATGTAATGATGTGTATATCTAAATACATGAAAATTTTAAGGTATCCGTTTTTCGTGCGGGTCAGTGTGCTATAGGCAAAATAAAGTAAACGTATTTTTAAACAATATAACATAAAGTATTATAAGATATAGTTACTAGCTATATGTTAGAAAAGAAAATTTTTCTTCGCATTACAGTCGTTATAATATGCAATTCCACTTTTACGTAAATTCAAGGAAACCCGTGTCCATAAGTAAACACTTGCGCTATCGCACCTAGCCATCGCTTCCCCGATGCAGCACCATAGAAATAACCTCGAAACATCTGAAAAATCTCTCTGTTTTTCTCCTCTGCGCGAGATAAAAATCCAAACGGTCCTCGGATGAGGCGGCATTCGTAAAAATACGACCGGCCAAACTGGTTAACTGTTAGTTTTCAAATATTTTTATGGACGCTCTCGGGCATTTTTGGCAATTTGCGTCAGCCCTATCTAACGAAGCGAACACTTTATGGACCTCTTGGTGTTTTATAGTTGATATAAATTTACGATAGAGGTCGTGAGTGTGTGCAGCAGGAAGAGTCAACGGCGAACGCGAACGGAGACACCCGTGAGGTCCGAAAAAGTAAAGAACGGCCGCTGTAGCGGGAGACACAATTTTAAAATGTTCTTAATGACGACATAAATATTCCTGAACACCTGGAGCTTACAGATTTACATATATTTTTAATACAGCTCAGTATATTAGCTTCCTTTCTAGATATTACTACTATGTGTACAGCTGAAACACAGAAAAAGGAAACATAAACTTCTCAAAAACAGTGATATTGCTCCATATGTCAAATCCGAATGACCTAAAATGGACAAGATATATTTATAGGTCACGATTACGTATTAGTGGAGATTCTGTTTAACTTATACTCTGAATCGATATTGCAGGAGGCGTTGGAAGATTTAGAAGACGGAATAAAGGTGAATGATAAACATATTAATATGATCCGATATACTGACAATACGGTGCTCCTAGCTAGCAATGAGAAAGATTTGCAGTGCCTGGTGGACAGAGTTAGCAGTATTAGTCAGAGTCATGGTCTTAAAATAAACATAAACAAAACAAAATTTATGATTATCGGCAAACTAAATATCGAAAATATCAGGACACAAGTAGAAGATCAAAATATAGACAGAAGTAAGAATATTTAAGTACTTGGGTTGCTGGCTGAATGATAAATTCAGTCCTGATGAAGAAATCACACATAGAATTGAAATAGCCAGAAACACTTTTTTCAAAATGAAAGCCCTACTCTGCAACCGAGACCTGAATCTGACTACTCGATGGCGACCTATCAAGTGCTATGTACTGTCTATACTGTATATGATTGTTATGCGGAGTCGAGGGATGGATCATGAACGCACGGACCATTCACAAACCACGTCACGTCACGTTTGGATTCATTTGAGATGTGGTTATACCGACGAATGTTGAAAATATCCTGGACCGAACGAATAACAAATCTCAAAGGATTAAAAAGAATGTGTAAGGACCACGAACTATTGACTGCAATAAAACGACGGAAAGTAGCATATTTTGGTCATATTTTAAGGAATAACAAATATAGTTCGCTACAGCAGATCGTTGAGGGAAAAATTGAAGGACGACGAGGCATCGGGCGTAAACCGTTTTCCTGGCTGCGGAATTTACGCCAGTGGTTTAATATAGGAGAGGCCAGTGCAATTATCCGTTTGGCTCAAGACAGGGAGGAATTCCAATTGATGGTCGCCAACCTCCGATGAGGAGAAGGCACATGAAGAAGATTAGTGGAGACAGTTAACTTGGAGTTAAAAACGACTTTGGTACTAGAGAAGCCATATTCAGTTTTCAAATATTAGTACAGAATTGTCAAGATCAGAAAAAAGATGTCTTTATGTGCTTTATGGACTATGAAAAGGCGTTCGACAAAGTTAAACATAACCTTCTTCTTCTTATATCATACCTCAGAGATTTGGGACTTGATGGAAAATATATAAGGTTGATTATAAATTTGTATTTCTAAAGAAGAAAAAAATCGACCAATGTGCACTACCAGTCATGACCTATGCATGCGAAACCTGGACACGTAAAACGGACATCATATAAGGGGGACTGCATAGGTCGCACATCGTTCAAACGAAAAAAATATGCTGGGAATAACCAAGAGGGACCGTAAAAAAATAAAGTGGATACGACAAAAGACCCAGGTAATAGATGTCATCCACAGAGTCCAATCCCTCAAATTGCAATGGGCAGGACACCTGGCAAGAAGAAAGGACAACAGATGGACCACAACTATTCCAGCATGATACCCACGAGGAATTAAGAGACCTAGAAGAAGACCGAACCTGAAATGGGATATGGGACCATGATATTAGGAAATTACCAGGGATAACTTGGGCCCGCATAGCCTACAATAGACAGCAATGGACCCAACTACAAAGAGAGTATGTGAGGGAGGCTACACCATAATTGAAAATGGTTGAATAAGCTGCAAATGATGATGGTGTTGAGTAATTTGTGTTGGAACCAAAAAGCTGACATTCGTATACATAACATGGGAGCAACAGAAGATTTTGGAATAAATAAAATTGTGTTTACTTTGTGCGCATATTTGAAGTGAAACTTCTTACCAAAAGTTTAGTTTGGAATGTTGAAAAAGTATTAAATTAAAAAAATATGTTTTTACGTGTAAAAATAGTTTTTATGTATAACAAATAGTTTTTACAGGATACCTAAAATATTACGTAAATTTACAAACATATAAAATTATATCCTTAAGGAAATATACTTGTTGCGTAAACGACAGGACAAGTCCATATCCGGTCCACCCCCTCAAATAAACCATCTTGTTTCCGCAAATATAATAACAGCCATAAGAACCGTCCCCTGCTATATCACCTTAACAAGCCGTTTGACGAGACGACCGCAGATAACAAGCAACAGATTAGCCAGTGACAATGTGACAAAGTGACCAGTGTCCGAGGGTGGAAAGAAAGACGGCGGCGACGGACATTTTAACGCCCTTTGATGTCAGAGGCCACCCCCTCTCGATTTTACGACGTTCTAATATTGAGCGATGTGGGAAAGAAAGTTTGGATGGTTGTTTATGGGTTGAGAAACTTCTGTTTTGTCACCTCTATTCAACGGTTTTTCACAACTGGATTATTATTAGATATTTATGCAACTAGTTGGGAGACATATTATTTTGTGTACCTAACGAATGGAGGTTTACAATGGAGTTACACAAAATCGATGTTTCCCAACGTGCTATACGTAATATCTATTTCTTAAGTAATTACACTCAGATGCAAAAAAAAACGCAACGGAGAAATTTTTGGTCAAATTTAAGATATTATATTTTTGTTATTTTTAGCCCAGTTTTTATGATTTTTTTAGAGAGCTGTATATAATTATATCAACTTTGATTTGTAAACTCAGCTTTTTATAAACTTTAGTATTTGGCATATTATACAGGGTTAATCGAGGGGTTGTTTTTTTACCTTAACGTTAAAACACCCTGTGTAATAATTTCGTGTGTATATTTTCCTAAATTATAATTTGACGGTCAGAACCATGACTCCTGAGCATTTTGTTTTTTTGATTCATGTCAATACATGCTTTGGTTAATTTTTAAGAGCGAAATGAACTGATAACGATCAATTTCCTTTTTTTTTCAAATATCATTGGTTTTTGATGTAATTTTTTAATATGACCAGATGGTTTTGGTGACTATTGTCGTAACGTCATATTACACTGCATTGGATACTCTATACTAAATTAAAAAAAAGTTGAAGACTAACAATGTAGTCCGGGTGTTAATGAACATTAATAACGATAACAGAACTAACGATATTACAGATGTTTTCCAACGAAAACATCTGTAATACTCTATTATACAAACAGAAAAAAAAATTGTAAAAAATACCCTAATACTTTGTATTGCTACTCTTCGCTGCTATAACTGCCTGTATACGTCCGTTCATATATTACGTCGTTATCATATTGTGTTATGTTTTCCCATTCTTCTTTAAGGACCAAGCAAAAGTCATTTAATGAAGCTGGTACTGCTTCGCGACGCCCTACTGCCAAGCATTTGCCAAAAGTCGAACATGATGGGCAGTTCACAGTAGTATATAGTTAGTTCATAATAATCACCAAAGCTGCCTTGTCACATTGAAAAATAACTTCAAAAAGAAATAATAAGTGAAAAAATTGCAAATTGTGGTGGCAAGTTCATTTTGCTCTTAAAAATTAACCAAGACATGCATTGACATGATCCAAAAAACAAAATGCTCATGGTGAGACATGGTTCTCACCGTACAATTATATTTCAGGAAAATTCACACATGAAATTATTGCACAGGGTGTTTTAAAGTTAGTTTTTAAAAAACTTTCGAATTAAAATTTCGAAATTAAGCGACGTTAGACGATGCGAGTGGATGGACTGGTGACCGTCTGGATGCTCTGTGATGTTCTGTTCTTCCATGACCAAAGTGTAAAATCTATTGAAAAACTCTCCTTATTCACTGGGGTTCGAGGCCAGATGAGAACGGATATCCCATGAGTAACAGTCAGTTTGGATACTGGCCAAATTGGTAGGCCATATGACCGAGGACCGCGGTTCTGATTCCACGTAAACAGATTAGCCTTAGCAGCAAAAAGGAGACGTTAACTTAAAAATACTATACTTTAACCTCAACTCTGTTCTTGGAATTAGTAAAATATAAAAAGTGTAGAGACAAAGTAATTCTAAATTGACTGCAATGAGATTTTGTTATTATTTCAAAAATAGTCGAGGTATATGAAAATTACAATAAATTTCAAAACAAGTTCTAGATCACACAAAAATGTCAAATTGTCTAATGAGCTTATAGTATTTTTCATTCTACAAACAAATAATTGACAAAGAAGTGGCAAATCGAAAAATTTCAGAGAACAATCCCCTTTATTTATTAAATATTTTGACGATGTTAGTTAAACTAATAATGCCATTGTAAAACTTGGAAAATAAGTTCGTCATAATAATGCTTTTATTTATTCACTATTCTAATAAACAATATGCATTCCTTCGGAAACTCTCTATTTATTTATTTGGTAATGCTAAAACACTCTATTTGAAAGTCGATTAGAGAAAACAGTATGATTCATTGGCAAGCGATGTAAATATTTGTGATCAGGTAAAATTGTGATGTAAAGGAGGCTTAGCTCGGCAGGCCAGTCAGTTGTTGATAGGCCGGCCGGCTGTGTAGTGTTGTGTTTTTGTCACAGAGCTGACATTTGGAAGTAGCGAGTCTTTTGACTATGGGAGTTAAAAACCTCTTGACGTCGTTCCTTCGAGGATGGTCTTGAGAGTTTGAGGCTTCTCGATTGACACCGCTGGGGCGTTGTGTGTGGACCCCAATTAGCCCCATCGATTGGGATGCGAATCTGTTTAGCGGCAGATTTGCGTCCGGGGGAAGCCCCTATACTATTTCAGGTGACACTAGCTAGTTGTTGAAGATAATTAACCAATAGATCCGAGTAATATTTGAATTAGATGGAAGATATGGAATGGGATATATTGAATAGAATGTCAGTGATGTCAGTGGCTAGGGGGCGGAGTACCCCCGGGTGAGTCTTACTATTTAACTATCAATTTTATCCAGATCAGTAAATGTTTGTTTTGTTATTTTCATGTACAATGAGAGAGTGCTTGCCAATGACCAACTAAATGGATATTTGAGGTGAATTTGCATTGTGAGACCCGGTTGAGTAAGCCCCAAAAATAACGATTTTACACCATACACAAATCTAATAATAAATCTATTCTATAGAGTAATTTTTTATATTTATTATTTTCTGAATTGTGTACTCAAGTTTTTCTCAATTTTCCATAGAATGGAAAAAGGATGCAGCTCAACTTGTGCGTCAATAAATACGGAAAAAATTTTACGACGAAATTGTTAATAAATTAATACGAAAAATTACCTATAACCGCTTGATTATATTTATAGCCACAATAATAACAATCGTTTCCCAGAAATAAATCATGGATTATAACATAAAATATTGTTATTTACGCAATCTCTATTGTTTCATCTGCAAAGTTATTTCAGCGAGATTGCATAACATATCTTTAATTGATCAGTAATAATAGGTTACGCTATAAATAGTTCTAGGGACTTATTGT